TTGTGTGTGTGTGTGTGTGTGTGTGTGTGTGTGTGTGTGTGTGTGTGTGTGTGTGTGTGTGAATAAAAGGGTAAAAAACAGCCTAATATTTCTTACAGTCCTGTTGTACACTTGAAAGGAAAGTTGAGTGTTTATTCAAGATTTTTATTAAAAACATGCACATAGTCAGACAATTTATTAAGCATATGTAGCTTCGTTCAGAGTCCACTGAAGTCAAGGGAAAGATTTCCATTGATTTCAAAGGGTTTTAGATCAGCCCCTTAAGGAAGCAAGTACATAAAATCTCTGGTGATTTAACATTGCTCCTAAAAAGTGTTTTCCCAGGTACCATGGCTCTGAAGTGTCTTTTGTTTGAAGAGACATCATTCATTTTAGTCCCCAAGTTACCTATATTACAAATAAACTCAGAAACTCCTATTTACATCAGGATTGAGTGATTCCTGATAGAAGAGCCCACCGCATTTTCAGTTTCCTGCATGAATGATTGTTTTCTGTTCCTCATTTTGGTCTTTGTCAAGCGTCATGTCCCACGTTTGGGCCTTTGTAGGTTAAGAAATACACACTTTGCTCCTCTCTCTCTCTGTCTCCTCCCTCACCCCCAACTCCACCCACTTTTACAGTGTTTTGTGTGTTATGGTGCCTGCTGGCCAATTTCCTATATTTGTTCCAAATATTTATATACTACATTAAAAGAACATTCGGTAAGGTTGCAAAATCAAGCTTTCAAAAGTTTGGAAATACCAGAAGGTTGCTTGTGTAATCTTAATTTGACCTCCTTTTGTGTGTGCATTATAATCCAGTCTTTAATTACATTATCACATACTATTTTACCACATTATCCCTGCGTCATTCAGGATGTCAATGAACAGGACATTAATGTTGTTTTAATGTAATTTCTGTGTATAATTGCCTGAGTTTAACAAAAAAAGAAACCTGAAAAAACAAACTCAGCATGTGGCAGCATATTGATACCCATATGGGACATCAACAGGGCTGGAGCCTATAGATTCATTGTACAGATCTCTGCCACTTGAGCAAACAGGGTAACTGGTGATTGCAGTAGTAGGTTGTCATCTTTTATGTGGACTGGCCCCTAGAGGCAAATGATATACATTTTGCCAGTAGGTTTCGCAAATATTTGCTGACAGCAGAGGAATGGTGAGGCTCAGGAATCTTGGGGTCCACTCCTGGCTCTGAGGGGAGAGTTCTTTAGTGGTCACAGACCCTTCTGCCCCTTTCTATTCTAGTCTGTCCCTGTCCCAGTCCCATCTCTTTCCCACCCCCTTTCCCTGGCTCCTCAGCTCAGTCCCCTCCTCTGGCTACTCCCAGTCTTCATTCCCCCTGTGTTCCTCATCCTAGGCCTTGTTTCCTTGCCTGTCCAATCTGGTCTTCCTGGCAGAGTTCCAGTATTCTCCCCACTCTGACTCTTCATCCCAGCCTCCCTCCTCCCCCAGACTCATTCAATCTCACTCCCCCCGCCCAGTCCCAGCCTCCCACTCTAGGTTTCTTGTCCCAGTCTGCTTGCCCAGCCAGTCCCAGGCTCC